CTGTGTAGTCTGACATGATGGTTGTTGGTGTGGTCCAGCATTTCTGTGTTCTCAAATAATATGTTGTGTCCAAAAAACTCCAAAATTACAACAGGATTTGGCTGGATGTGGAAGCAAAAACAACCATTGGAACTCATGACATCAGCAGTAGAGCAGCATGGCATTTCTTGTCATGATGTACTTATTTGGAATGATTGAGGAGCCCTCAATCTCATGCAGGTAATGAGACCTCTCTCAGAGTTGGAACTTCTTTTGGACCAGACAGCTTGTCTGGTCCAAAATTCCATGAACTTTACGATTTTGCACTTCTCTACCCCTAAAGCTCTAGAAGATAGTATACATTTCTCAAACTTTCTGGATCTTGCAAACAGCCATCTTTTTGAACACCACAGCAACTTGTGGATAACATTTGTGACCCTAATTATCGTTGTACATCTGTAATAGCAAGCCCAGCACATAGATAATTGGCTCAGCTACACAATGATAAACATGTCAGGCCGTAACTTCTGCCGTTGCTTAGGACATAAAATGGAGATTGGAATGTCAGTGGGTGTTTTATATCAAATAAAACCACAGACAAATGGATTGTATGACCCGAGCTTGAGCCTAATGGGATCGAACCATTAACTTCTGAGCAGACCCCTACCTGAAAACAAAGCACCCACAAAGTGCACAATATGAATATAAAGAGCTTGGCTAAGCAGGGACTAAAGGTGAAATATGGCAAGAAGGGTTATAGTTGTGTAATATGACCCAAGAGGGCAATGCCAATTTAAATAGCATTTTAAGAGCCTTTCTGGACTAGAAAAAAAGGTAGTTGAATAAAGATGTACAGAATAAGAACTAGCACAATCCTTTAGGTAGATTAGTCAGGACTATAGAAAGGGTGGCATCTGGGGTAAAACTATTTTTCTTTGATTAAATAAAACTGGCACCAACATGACAGAAATTATCCCATAATACAGTGATTCCTATCATTTAGGGCCCTTCCAGTCAGGCCCTATATCCAGGGTCTGATCCCAGGTTTTCTGTTTATCCCAGATTATCTGGTAGTGTAGATTCACGTAATCCATTTTAAAGCAGAACACTGGGATCAGATCCTGGGATATTTATTATTATTATTATTATTATTATTATTATTATTATTATTATTTCAAAGTTTTATATACCGAGCTTCTCACCTCATAAGAGGGACTCAGCCCGGTTTCCAACCATAAAAAGACATACAATCGGTAAAATATCAAAATACACATTACAATAAAACATTTTAAAAAAGCACATATATTTAAAGCTACAGTGGTCAGTCGTCATACTAAAATCGAATATACACCATCTTCCATCCAGATCATTGTCTCATTCTTCGAAGGCCTGTCTCCATAACCACAACTTCACCTGTTTCCTGAATGTCAGGATTGTTGGGGCGGTTCTAACCCCTGGCGGGAGAGAGTTCCAGAGTCGCGGGGCCACTACCGAGAAGGCCCTGTCCCTCGTCCCCACCAGTCGCGCTTGTGAGGAGGGGACCGGGAGCAGGGCCCCTCCAGACGATCTTAGTAATCTTGATGGTTCGTAGGGGAGAATACGTTCGGAGAGGTAAACCGGGCCAGAGTCGTTTAGGGCTTTATAGGTTAACACCTGCACTTTGAATTGTGCTCGGAAGCTAATTGGCAGCCAGTGGAGCTGGTGTAACAGCGGAGTGGTGTACTCCCTGTACCCAGCACCCGTTAGTAATCTGGCTGCCGCGCGTTGTACTTGCTGCAGCTTCCGGGCAGTCTTCAGAGGCAACCCCACGTAGAGAGCGTTGCAGTAGTCTAAACGGGATGTAACCAAAGGGATATAGGGCATGTCTGAAGGGCCCTTAGTGCTTGAGATGTTTTAGAGTTCAGCTCCCAGAATTCTGGACAATTGACCAAGTTGCTAGGGCTTCTGCCAGTTGAAGTCCCAAACAAGTGGAGAACCAAAGGTTGGGAATCAATGCCCTAAAGGGTGTTGGAGAAATTGTGGATATTTCCCACCACCACCTCCATTTTAGGACGGAAAGAGAAGTTGTCCAGAATCCTATCTCTGCATCACTATTCAAAAGAAGTCCCTTCCTGGACCTAAGATGGCCTACAGTCCTTCCAGAGAGGCCCTATATGCCAGGTTTTCTGCTGCAAACTGGATTATATGAGTCAGCACTGCCAGGTAGTCTAAGATAAACAGAAAACCTGGGATCGTATTCTGGGATATAGGGCCTGCCCAAGGGACAGAGAGGGACAAAAATGTGGAAACAATCCCCTCCACTCCCCAAGAAGTATTCTGGGGCATTGAGGGAGATATGATGTGGGGAGTGGGCAGAGATGTGGTGGGATATTTGTCCTTTGGAGGGGCTAATACAACCCTCTAAATCTTGAGCATTTCCACTCCTAAGATAAATGAATAGAAAAATATTTCAGTCAACAGGATCAAATATCATACCTGTGCATGACAGATGTTGAAGAGAAACAGTAGGAACACCTGCCCATGTGTCATCCAGCATTTTGCAAATGAAAACAAAACCATGAGATATTTCATACTCTCAACTGTTTAGCTGCAAATCATTGTTGACACTGGCCACTGAATGACAGTGCTTTGTTCCACTTATGGGAATCACAAAAAAATAATGTGACACAATCCCATCTGCACATTTGTGTCTTTTGTCTGTTCTCAAACACGTTCCATCTCCAGTCTATGCAATGTTTTTGACATGAAATAATAATAATAATAAACTCGAGTGATGAGCAACTGCTGCAGGAACAATGTACACTAAATGCATAAGTCCTAAAAACAAAAGAATTAACAACAATGTTCCTCTTTTGCTCCTGACATTCCAACGGGCGGCAGCCATGGTACTAACAGGAGCAGGGCGCAGGGAGCATACAACTCCTCTGCTGTACCAGCTCCACTGGCTGCCGATTAGCTACCGGACCCAATTCAAAGTGCTGGCATTGGCCTTTAAAGCCCTAAACGGTTCTGGCCCAACATACCTATCCGAACGTATCTCGGCCTATCAGCCCACCAGGACCCTAAGATCTTCGGGAGAGGCCCTTCTCTCCATCCCGCCTGCTTCACAGGTGCGGCTGGCGGGAACGAGGGATAGGGCCTTTTCTGTGGTGGCCCCACGGCTTTGGAATGCCCTCCCTATAGAGATAAGATCAGCCTCCTCGCTGATGGCATTTCGAAAAAAACTGAAAACATGGATGTTTGAGCAAGCATTCGGCTAATCCGATGCGATGAAGTTTTGATCAAGGACTGGTAATCACAGACAATGAAATTGGATTATGATTTAAGTTAAGAGATGCATTGGTCTGTATTGGTGGCCCAATACTGTGTATTGTATCTGTATGTGTTTTATATTTTTATCGGAATATTGTTGTTTTTAATATTGTAAACCGCAATGAGTCGCCGTTTTAGGCTGAGATATTAGCGGTATACAAGTGTACTAAATAAATAAATAAAATAAATTATCAGCTTTTATGCAGAGGGACTTTGTCCATTCAAGGGTGACTTTAAGCTTGATTCTTCAGCCAGCATTGACTCATGCTTCTTCTTGTGAGTTCTAAATAATCTTGACTTCTCATTTTCAGGCTTGATCCTCAGACTGTTTCAGTGCACCCTATATTATGCATGCTTCCTTCTTGCATCTGATTTAAGCACCGATTGCAATTACTTCCTTCAGGCAAAGTCAGGGGATACTCCAGAGTTTGCTGAAAGCTTTGAAGTAACTCAGGGCTTTGGAATAGTCAGGACAGATGGATTGTATATTATTCGGATCAATCCTGTATGCAC